ATTGCCGCATTTTGATTCCCGCTAGATTTGTAAATAACATATAGCCTAATGTGGCTAACACAACTGAACATCTGAAAGTAGACGATGGCTAAAAATCGTCCATTACCTTTCACAAACGGCACAGCGGTGCTCAAGTACGTTGCTTGAATGGCAAAACATTTGTCCAGTTTGTTTTTTTGGCTATAATAATGACAGGAATAAAATGCTAATTTCTTAGCTTTTTTAATGTGTCTTTCGCTTTTTGATAAGTGCACTTAATATCTTTTAAATTTTCTTTATATAGTGGTAATTTCCATATTAGTCCAGTCATTTTTAAAAGATCATTTTCAGTAATAAGAAATGCCGAATTTTTTTAACCCACGAGTAACCTTTTTCTTCATCATCTATTAAACAAACAAACGAACGATACAATTATATCAAAATCCATCAATACACTATTTCGAAGTCCAGCCTCACACCCCAGAATTTGCATTTGTTATCATTCAATAAGAGTAAGCTGGCCAAAAAAACGTTAGCCGTTTTTTTTTTTTTTGCTTATGTTGTTGTTGTTTATTGTAATTGTTTTTTCTATTACTGTTGATTTTTATGATTGGGTAAAGCCTTGTTTTGGTGGCACTCCGTCATTTTCAACTGACTCTTTTCAATTTCGTCAGAGAAAAACGTTGTCAAATATCTTTTCAAAAACGTTTATCAGAAAGTGCTCTCAGACTGATAAACAGTCCTATATCGTAGTACAGGGATAATCCGTGAAATGGCTGATTATCACACTCTCTTATTAACTGCAAATTGCGGCTTTTATCTAGAAGTTCTAAGGGGGGGATTCAGAAAATTCAGAGAGGGGTGGCCGGCCTGGATACTATGTACTAGATACTTTTTATTTTACTGAAAATTCTTTTAAAAAAATATTAAATATAAAATTTCACATTAAAAGGAGGCCTCGGTCCCTTCGGCCAACTCCTAAATCCGCCCATGTTTCTTAATAAGCTATCGTGATCTCGAACTCATAAGCGGAATAATTGACAGATCGATATTCTCGGGAACACAAAACTTAACATAGCAGAACCCCGATAATTCGAACTCCCCGCTAACTCGAGATATGACGATAAACCTGAAACGAAACGTGGACAAAATTGCGGGATCTAAACGCTTCGTTTAAGTAAACGGGGAGAAAGCTATAATTGCCTTTACGCGTTAAAGTCGTCTTTTGCCTGAGCAAACATGAATTTTAAATGGTAAATTTTTCAGTTATTTCAATTTCACATGCATTAAATTAAATTTGTATCATCTTTCCCTTGAAAGCATATTTAAATTCATTTACGTCGCTATTTTAATATAAAGCATGGTTTCAACTTTTTTATAGAGTCGTCAATATTCTTTTATTAATCGTTGCTTTTGTGATACAAAGCAACCACTTTAAATGTAAAGGCTGAAAGAGTTTTTTTTCGAGATATATACTAGTTATGCAACTCTGTCTAGTGGTATACGGGGCTTGAAATAACTATTGGGCAGGCGCCGGACACATTGTCCGGTCAAACGTGATTTTGCTCGGACATAGGCATTTTTGGCCGGACAAATTTAATCCATCTTAACTAGTTGCAATAGAGGCTCCATTTTGCAAGTTACATGATCTGTATCATTTTCAGCAACAGCAACTGTAGTTACTCAAAACAAATCGAGTGTGCAAAAAATTAGAAGTTGTAGTTTTATTACTCTTTGTTCTGTTACATTGTAAGTCAGACACGTGGATTGCAAGACACAACCTCATCGTTAACGTTTGGTTGAAACCTGACCAAATCACTAACAAAACGTAACCTTCAACTTTATAGAACAACATTTACATTTTAGCAAATGCCGCTTTGTTGAAATGTTGAAATTTCTTCTTATACAAGATTGCCAAGAAATTACAGAACAAGCCTACATCGCCGCCGGATCCAAAAAACACCAAAACCTTAAGATTTTAAATGTTGCATACAACAGAAACGCTCTTTCGTTAAGATGTGTGATCGAGCTCCTAAAATATAGTAGCGGGAAAGTCCTCTTAGACATCCGAGGACAAAAACTTGCGCAAGTGGAATTTTCCGAAATCATAAGGGAACACCCAGACGCACTGGAATAGGGCATTCCAAGATGTTGATGATTATGTCCACATGCTTCCGATTTAACTCATTTATTTACTGTTTGCACTTTGCTCAGGATTTCCAGAAATACATTTCTCATTTGTCTCCATAGAGAATTGCTTTTTAGAATGTCTTTAGAATGGGGAGCATGAACTTTCATCTCATATAATTTCGTTGGTTAACGTTTCTTTTGAGTGTCATATACATTTTGTTAATTCTCCGTTACATCTCTTACACGTTGCGCAATGAAAATAATCATATCCCTCGGCGCGACCTGCTGGCCGAAGTAACATCGCCATTCGCACAAAAAATCGTGGTAGTGGGCATTCATTGGCATTTGAATGCGTTAAAACTTATACATAATGTATTTCAAAGAGAACAGGGTGATGAATGTTGAGTTAACCTTGTGAATTAGTCGTTTAGTGATAGACACGCAACAAATTTAAGGACAGGGCGAAATAAAGACAAACTCTATTTTTATGTTTACTTCATGAACACTCAAAGCCTTTTATTTTAATGTTACATTTGTGAAGTTTTATTGGAGCAAGAGGGTGGCCTAATTCATTATACTGTCACCCTGGGTCTTTCCTTTTTTTGCTCTTGTTGGTTATTTTCGGCGCAGCGGGGCGTGCAATCTTGAGCACTTTACAACACGAACAGCAGTAGCCAATTTGCGGTCGCGACTGACAATAGGAAATGTCATCAATTTCACAAACAAAAGTCCCTCTAGTTAATATCTTTTTTGGGAACATGATAAGATTGAATAAATTTCCATCATGATTGTCTCAAAATTGAATTTTCTTTGAAAGCCCAAATGACCGGACAACATGTCCGGTCATCCACCGATTTGCTCGGACAATGCTCGATTCTGACCGGACATTGTCCATTGACCGGCCGTTATTTCAAGCCCTGCGGTATAACATGGAACATCCCACGTGTCACTGGTTTTTTTCTCAGCATACACATACGCCTTTAGGCGAGTGTGTATACAAATTTTTTTACACAAAATTTTCTCTAACAAAATTTCGGTTGGAATAAGATCGCAGCGCACGATGGGAAGATTGGGTGTAATACCGTCGAACCATGACGAGTTTCCTTGTATTCTGATTGGCTGTATTTTCTATGTAATGGTATAAGAAGTCATATAAGTTGATTAATGACTGAAGAAGGAACTCTGTGCACGGCTCCCCTATACCTAGCAAGCGCGTTCTTTGCCGCTGGAACCTCATATTAGGGTACTGGTTAAAAGTTGAAATCAAATTCTAACCTCATTCTACAGAATGCTCGCTTCAATTAAACTAATCTCTCCTGCGAGCACAGTTTCATATTTGGCATTTGATTAATTATCTCTAAATTCTGTACATTTTCTAGATAAATCCAGGCGACACGCGCGGCCTATGCGTTTCGGGTCACAGTGGTCCTAAAGCTACGGCACCTGCCCGTATTAGGAGCAAAAAGGTCAGTGACGCATTGAGGGCATGAAAGAGTAGCTTTGCCTTTAGAATTCTTTGTCATGCCCACTTTTGTACATATTCTTATTGACCCCGTCTTCACTAATGCCTAAAATTTGAAGACGCATACAATTTTACGTTTTCTTCTGACATTGCATACGTTGGCACTAGAATGATCAAAAATTTGACGGGACTAATTCTTCCAAAAGTGAAAACTATCCTGTATTTGAGATGTGAGAATGGTTGATGTCAGTCATAACAGTTGCCCCTGTAAGATCTGCAATATCTACTAGCCCGACGAGATCCCTGATTTGGAACTGTATAAGACGTTGGACAGTATGAATATGTCCTTTGAAATTAAGAACCGCTGCAGGCTGCGATTGGCCTGGTCATGTCTTAAGGATGCCCAGTGACAGCTAGGATACCCAAAGTTTCCTTGATGTCTTTGAGATAGACTCCAACTGCGAAGAGAAAAAAAGGCCGGCCAAAAACCACCTGGCCGAGAACAGTCATGAAAGAGCTTGTCATGAGGAGTTGGGTCTAACATGGAGTGAAGCTCAGGCCAAAGTTTAGGACAGGGTTGAGTGGCGAAATTTTAAAAAAGAGGACGAGTGATTCGGTCCTTATCGTGTCACACGTAATGAACTCTTAACGTTATCATATAGTTACCTCAAAAAACGGATCATGATCTCTGCAGGTCTGTTTTGCCGGTCGTGTTTTCTTTTTCACCATAATCTTTCTTATTAAATAAGTCGAAATTCGCTTGTCAGAAAATTGAGGTAAAAAAGTAAGAGTATCGTTAGGGCCAATTGAAGTAGCAGCATACACATTCTACAAAAATTTGGGAAAGAAAACGCTACCACCAGATATACAAAGGCTAAGTATGGATGATAGAAAACGTTGCGAAAACGCTAGTGTAGCCACGAGAGACTGCGAGTTTTTTCCTGTTCTTTATTTTTTCATGTTTTGCGTTGCGTAAAATTAGTTTAATTAGTGCCTTTGTTATCGCGCTTGGAGTAGTCTTTTGTTAGCCTTTTTTCATATGCGTATTCTTTCTGTATTCTAGTCTCAGGCGTTGCGTTACGTAATCGTTATTGTCAATTTTTGTAAGTTCGTTAGGTTCATTATTTTCAGTCCAGTTTAGTATAAAGTCTTATTTTTGGTTCATGTAAATCAGTCGCTTAGTTGTATCCGGAGTTGCCGTACAGATCTTGTAAGTATAGTTTTTCCTGTAATTTTTGCTCGTTTTAATTTCTTAGTCATTTGTTGTACTTTAAGTTATCGTTTTTTGTAAGGCTTTCGGTCCGCGTTTATTAATTCTGTATTTTCTTTTTTTGCTGTAATTGTTCTAGTGAATCGAGAAGTAAAAGTCGAATTCAAACGGTACGAGAGTGTTCTTTTACATGCATTCAAAGATCTGAGAGTGGATGTCATGTGTTCCGGAGTTGATCGGGAGTGGCAAAGAAGACGCCGTTTTCATTCTGAAGATGCTTTAGACAGTCTGCGACTGAAAAATTCAAGAGCTGGGTACTTGTCGAGAATAACCAAGTTGTACCGAGAAACTGAAGAACTCTTAAATGACTCAAAGAATGTCAATGAAGTTTCGGAGAAATTATTGGACATTGACGAAGCCTTTGCTCGCTTCGAGAAGGCGCATTACGATTACATTGCTACTTTATCTGGAAACTTAGAAGAATGGGAAAGCGAAGCACGTTATTTTAAAGAACATTGCAACCGAAAGATGAATTTTGAATCAAGAATTGAACAATGGATTCATAGCGTAAAGGTGCCAGTTGTAACTCACGAAGATATAGACACACAGCCTGAAGATGTCGTCAGCACAGCGCATTTATCTATTAGACAGCTGAAGGCCAAGCAAGCGTTAGCTTATCTAAAGCTGAAACAGTTAACGCAAAAGTAAGAATTATTACGTCAGGAGGAAGAGACTAAATTAAAGTTAGAAGTTTTGGAGGCACAGTATGAAGTCCAAAAAACAGACCTGCAAGTTAAGTTGTTGCAAGATGAAGATATCGATTACCCAAATCTTCCGGAGGTGTTTAAAGAGCTGAATCCGTTTGATAAAGGAGTTGAAGGACGAGCTACAAGCGGCTATAAGCAGGAAGACCCTGAGCCCAGAGGCGGACAGAAATCAATTGAATCCAAACGTTCACAGTCACAGTTGAATCCCAATGCGCTAGAATTCAAAGGTCTACCAGCCAGATCCAGCACAGCCTCCTCTGTTTCAGAAAACGAATATATTTTGCCTGAAGAATTTATTGGCAAGATGGCGTTAACCATAAAGCAGGGGTTTGCGTTGCCGAAGAAGGAGTTGGCAATCTTTGATGGTGATCCCCTCGAGTACTGGAATTTTATTAAATCGTTTGAAACAAGCATCGTCTCTAATGCAGCTAGCGAAAGCGAGAAGCTGATGTATCTTCTTCAGTACACATCGGGTGTAGCAAAGGACACGATCAAATGTTGTTTGTACAAGGATCCTTCCCTAGGATATCAAGCTGCAAGAAAGCTACTTGAAGAACGGTTCGGTCATCCCTTCAGAATTGCCTCGCAGTACGTGACCAAGCTAACAGAAGGTCCTCCTCTGAAGCCTTCAGATCGTACAGGATTATTAGCATTTGCTGACCAGTTAAAGGATTGCGAAAATACACTTGAATCTATTGGCTACCTGGATGAAATCAATAGCGCCGACAACCTAAGAAGAATTGTTCAGAGGCTGCCGTTTCATCTCAGGACTAAATTTGTTGAAGTAGCAGATCAAATCCAGGAAGCAGGTCAAAGAACGAACATTAGTCACATTGCAGAATTTGTCAAAATTAAGGCGAGAGCTGCAAATAACCCTGTGTTTGGTTGCGTGATAGACGATGCACGAGGCAGATCGGATAATCAGAGATGTAAGCCTAAGCCTAAAAGAGCTACATTGCCCGATGAGCGCGGTAACGCATTCAGTACTCAAGAGATCGATTTCACAGAAGGACAGTTGAGTTCACCTGGTCACAAAGAAGCCCCATCTTCGAGATATGCAGTCTGCCCGGTATGCAATGCAGCTCACCCCTTAGCGAAATGCAAGGTTTTTATAGAGAAGAATTTCGAAGAACGTCTACAAGTGATGAGGAAAGCTCAGTTATGCCATAATTGCTTCAAGTACGGCCACATTGCAGTGGGATGCTTAGCAAGGAGTACATGTGAAGTCCAAGGTTGTAAGAGACGACACCATACTTTACTTCACCCTCCGCCCTCACAGCAATCAGTTGAAAACAGAACCAGAGTCTCGGTTGAACAAGGAACCCAAGTAAGCAATGGCACGCTGTTATCAAGTGGACAGACTAACAGTACCTCAACAGGAGGGGGAAAGGTTTGCCTGAGGGTGGTCCCTGTGAAAGTCCGAAGTCGCCATGCAGACAAGGTAGTGGAAACGTACGCACTTCTAGACAGCGGTTCAGATATCTCCTTATGCGACAAGACGCTAGCGAGGGAGCTTGGAGTTCGAGGGCAAGAAAAAACATTCTTCCTGACAACTCAAGAAAGAGAAGACAGCCCAAGAGTTGGTCGTGAGATCAGCCTAACCGTAGAGTCACTTGATGGTACTGACAAGGTTGAAGTTAAAAGACTATGGACTGTTGATAGACTGAACGCCTCACGCCGAAGTATCCCATCAGAGCAAGATACAAAACAGTGGCCTCACCTTGAAGACATAAAGTTACAAAGTATTAGCGAAAAAGAAGTCCGATTAATCGTAGGCACTAACGCGCCAGAGGCCTTCTGGGTATTAGAAGAAAGGCGTGGTAATAGAGGAGAGCCATATGCCATTCGAACACCTCTTGGTTGGACACTCATGGGCCCAGTGGGACGCATCGATTGCCAAGAACGCCATCTGAATGTTAACTTTGTTCGCTTAGTGGAGTCCGCGAGAAAAGATTGTCTCATGCAGCAAGTCGAAAGGTTCTGGGCCATAGAGAATTACGGCTTGGCGGGTGACTCTAACGTGTGCATGTCAGTGGAAGACAAGAAAGCTCTTGCAATCATGGAACGATCTGTGAAACTTGATCAAGGTCATTATCGGGTGGCGCTTCCCTGGAGACAGTACCCACCATTCCTGCCTTATAATCGGCCCATTGCAGAACGAAGGCTTCAAGTACTGAAGAGGAGGTTTCTACAAGATGAGAAACTCTTTGAAAGTTACAAGACCACCATGGAGGAGTACATTGCTAAGGGACACGCACGAAAGGTACCGTGTAACGAGGTTCATGTAGACGACAAGCGGCCGCTGTGGTATTTACCTCACCACCCTGTACTCAACAAGCCTGGAAAAACCAGAGTAGTCTTCGACTGTGCAGCCAAGTACGGAGGAACATCTCTTAACGATCGGCTTCTTACTGGACCGGACTTGACTAATTCTATAGTTGGCGTGTTGATGAGATTCCGGGAAGAACGAGTCGCGTTATTAGCTGACATCGAGTGCATGTTCCATCAAGTTAGAGTACCACCAGACGACCAAGACGCGTTTAGATTCCTCTGGTGGCCGGATGGTGACTTGAATCAGCAACCAGTCGATCATCGTATGGAAGTCCATTTGTTTGGTGCAACGTCGTCACCGAGTTGTTGCAACTTCGCTTTGAAAAGGACAGCAGAAGATAACAAAGACGAATTCCCGGAAGAAGTGGTCAGGACAGTCAAAAGAAACTTTTACGTCGATGACTGCCTCAAGTCGGTTAAATCTGCAAAAAACGCTGTGGAATTTGTGCATCAGCTAAGAAGCATTCTGTCCAAAGGAGGATTTCGATTAACCAAATGGCTGAGTAACAGTTCAGAGGTCTTGGACTGCATTCCGCGAGTTGAGAGAGCCCCGTCAGTACTTGACCTTGACCTGGACAAAGTAAACCCACCGATCCAACGGACGCTGGGGCTCAAGTGGGATTTAGAGAAAGACGAGTTTACTTTCAAGGTTACCCTAAGAGACAGACCAAATACCCGTCGGGGAATACTCAGCATGATGAGCTCCGTTTATGATCCACTTGGGTTGGTCGCTCCAGTTGTTCTAACGGCAAAGAAGTTGTTGCAAGATCTTTGTAAAAAGAAAATTGGATGGGACGACCCAATCAGTGATGAAGATGGTGAAAGATGGGAGAAATGGAAGAGTAAATTACCCAGTCTCTCTCGGATCTCTGTTGGAAGATGCATTAAGCCGTTGTACTTTGGAGACTTGAAATTTGCCGAGTTGCACAACTTCGCAGACGCGTCGCAGATAGCATATGGAGCGGTCTCGTATCTCAGAATGGTAGACGTTGAAGATAGAATCCATTGCACATTCCTTATTGGAAAATCTCGCCTAGCACACCTGAAACCTATGACTGTACCGAGATTGGAACTGTCCGCGGCAGTCTTAGCTGTTCAGTTAGACAAGTCTGTTCGAGAGGAATTGGACGTTCCGATAACACAATCAATATATTGGTCAGACTCCACCTGTGTGTTGCAGTACATCAGAAATCAGTCGAAGAGATTTCACACGTTTGTAGCAAACAGACTCTCAGTTATTCACGAGAACTCAGCCCCCCACCAGTGGAGACACATAAGTTCCGAGCTCAACCCGGCTGATGAAGTTAGTAGAGGTCTCACAGTAGAAGAGATGTGTGCAAACAGCAAGTGGCTAAATGGTCCTCAGTTTCTAACCAGGAGAGATGAATTTTGGCCTCGTGATCCTACACTTCATGAACCGGAGTTATCCGATGACGATCCAGAGATCAAACGTGCTCAGTCTAACAGCCAATCATCGTCTGGCCATCAAAGTGGAGATATTCTTTCAAGTTTGATCGAGCGCCATTCATCATGGGAAAGATTAAAGAGGGCAGTGGCCTGGTTACATAGATTTAGAACGTGGTTCATTGAGCGATACAGTCGAAGACCAATCAGTTCCAATGTTAAGAGTAGTGTAAATAGAAGAGTCCTGTCGGTAGACGAAATGAAAGAAGCTGAAAAGGAGATTATCAAGCACACACAGAGAATTTCATTTCCCGAAGTCATCCAGGCCTTGCAAAGGATCATTAGATCAATTCGTAAAATCCTTAAAGCCTTGCTGGGACAACAACTCGTCACTGATGAAATGCTGCAAACCCTCATGGCCGAAGTTGCAGGTATTTTGAACAGCCGACCTTTGACACCAGTGAGTAGCGACCCTAAGGACCTAGAACCTCTCACGCCGAATCATCTGCTGTTATTGAGATCGAATCCAAGTTTGCCCGTTGGGTCCTTTGGCAAGGAAGATAGTTACAGTAAGCGCCGATGGCGACAGGTGCAGTACATCTCAGACATATTCTGGAAGCGCTGGCTAAAGGAGTATTTGCCAACCCTACAAGAAAGAGCAAAGTGGATGAAGCCTCGTCGTAGCTTGGAGATCGGAGATCTAGTATTGATTGCAGATGAAAATGTCCATCGCGGAAAATGGCCGTTGGGCAAAGTTGTTGATGTCTTTCGCGGAAAAGACGGATATGTCAGATCAGCAAAGGTTAAGACGAGTCTAACCGTTCTTACAAGGCCAGTAACAAAGTTATGCTTCCTTGAAGGTCAGAGAGCGCCACATTGAACTTAGAAAAAAACGAACCCTTTTTTTCTCCAGAAGCTGTGAAAAGGAATTTATTTGATCACTACTAAGAATTCTATTTAAGGATCGCGGACTTACGCTCGTGCCTAGGTAGTGACTCTATTAATGAACTTTAAAGAGACTTGGATAGTTCATTGGGGCGGGCATGTAGCCACGAGAGACTGCGAGTTTTTTCCTGTTCTTTATTTTTTCATGTTTTGCGTTGCGTAAAATTAGTTTAATTAGTGCCTTTGTTATCGCGCTTGGAGTAGTCTTTTGTTAGCCTTTTTTCATATGCGTATTCTTTCTGTATTCTAGTCTCAGGCGTT